AATAAAGTATGTGCTGACCTGGCTTTGTAACACCAACACATGTAAAGATAAGTACTGCAAAGAAACAGAAAAGAAAAAAAAAAGGGAAAGGTTGCATTCTTTCTTCCTCCTGCGTATAAAATTAAAAATCTCACACTGTCCCAGTGCAACGGAGTTGAGCACAAAAGGGAAAAAACAGCCCCGTGTTGTTCTAGGCCGGGCGCCAAAACAGCTTGTGTGAGTTTGTGCTGGCAGCCGTGTTCTCCGGCGGAGGGTCCGTGCTCGGCCGCTGCACAGAGCCACAACCACCGACCCTGCCTCCCAGGTCACTGAGTCACCTTCCTGCCAGCCCCCCGCCACCCTGAACCTCCTGTGCACTCAGGCAAAGGTTGCTTTTTTTGTATGTGTGTTTGTTTATTTATTCGGTGCGTCCCGTAAGACACGTCCCAAGATTGTCGTTTACTACCCAGGGTGGCATACGAGAGACTGCTGCCTCTGTGAAAAAACATCAACCTTAACCCAGTCTTGGATGCGGTCCAACAAATCCTTTACCCACAGAAATACTTTTACACAAGTATTTAAGTCAACAGGATTCCTTGCGTGAGTAAGGGATTGTGGGATTTAGCCTTTACCCATCTTATTTTTCCAGTAAATAAAAGGTACTTTTTTCAGCCTCTCTAGTGAACTTCACCATTTTTATCCTTTTGCTGTTCTTTGGGTTTTGCCTATTCCCCGAGAGTTCCCTGTGACTTCAAATATCATTTACCTTGAAATTCCCTTCTTTCCAATCTCTGCTCTATACAAATTTCTCCACTTTTGCCCACCTTATTAGTAGACATGAGTTAAATGGGCAACCTGATCTCCAAGTTAGCACAGAGAGATTGTTTGGATTTCAGCTTCTTCATCAAAGCCGATCCGCTCAGTATTGATTCCACATCAAATGCAGTGCTAGAAGAGCTAGGAGAATTCAGCTCTAACTCCCAATAACCAAACAAAAACCAATTCCTCTTTTTTACAAATTATTATTATAACCAAATTAAAAGGACCTATGCTTTCCTTTTCTTTTCCTGCCTTCTTACAAGTCTGGTCTAAACACAAGTAATCACAAATCCGCCCCCATATTCATCCCTAAGATGCAGCAGAGAGGCTGAGAGTATCCCAACTACAAAGGTGTAGTTTGAACGTTGCTCTGGACTTGAGCTGGAGGCTATCTCTGCTTTACTTGGCTGAAAATAAGTACTTAGCCTTTTGGACTATGGAATCAAAGGCAGGCATGAGCAGCAGCATATCAGTCCGTGTACGCTGCTGGCTACAGAAACCTCAGGTCCTACAGTCACCCCAGCCCAGTAGTCCATTTAGGCACATCATCAAGTCTGGGTCTTGCAGGTCAGACAAATTAAAGGAAGGTGTAAAAAACACGGGATTTTTGCCAATTGCTACTTTTTCTGCAACTCTCCCAGTCCCTTTAGTTTTAGTTTGGCCCCTTGTTATCTGCAAAGGAGTATTTCATCGTCATGCCAGCTTCTGCAAAACCTCTTTGAGTACCAAAGAGGCACTTGTCACCAGCACCACAGTGCTCCGTCCATCCCATCCTACTTTGACCAGGTGACATCCTACCAGTAACACCTGCAGGTCTCCCCAGCAGGTGATTACCATTCCAGGTTGTTCCTTTCACTTATTAACTCTTATGGGCTGACCTCCAGTTAAGTGTGGTGCTGAGTCTCGTCTGGTGAACCCGGTGGCAAAAGTCTTTTGCTATTTATCAAGTGCCACCGGGTTCACCAGACGAGACTGACACTTTGTAAAAGCACTGGGAGTACATATTAATGAGCTGGGTTTTCTTCCCAAGGTTTTGTACATTTTCTGACACCTCTACCATCCCACTCTGTTTCCAAGAGCAAACTACTGAAAACTTTCTCCACTCTGGGTGCACGTGGAGCTCCGCTCATCACTGTGTTGCAAGAGGAACTCAGTAACGTGATAACCTGTATGTCAAACTACAGCCTGAACTTCCCGATCCTGTGAAGTCTGTTGCTTTGTTGTGAAGCCGTGATGCAGGAGCAAAGTGTGGAGTACACAAGCACAGGCTCTGAAATAAAAACTCTTCCACAGGCAGGGATCTACCTGTAGGTAAATTCAAACCTACTCAGGTTTCAGGGAGTCTGTTCCCCCTCACTGCACCTTCACCTGGGTACTAAGTGCTTGTCTTCCCATAGACCCAGTCAAGCGATCAGCTTCAGGTATCCAACTCTGCAGCCATACTCTGAAGCTTAATGTTATTCACATATTTCAGTGATTCATTAAAAGAGAACTTACACTGAAAGTCTAATTAAGGCTGAAGTTCCACATTCATTTCCAGAGCAGTAAAAGGCAAGTTATGTAAACTCACAGCAAGTAATTCTTCTTTTACCAGAAGAGCAAGATAAAAGCATAAAACACATCCATAGGCAAAACAGTAAAAGAGGGGAGCAAAGGTTTTGGCAGACAGTACGTAAGAGAAGGAAGTCTAGAAAGACATTTTTATTTGCATTTCTTACATGACATTCTCTGGACTTCCCCTCCACCTGGAATACATCAGAGGGAAGTGGAGCGACCAGTGAGATGGCTACTGTATAGCCCTGAGATGACAGCAGCTCTTTTTGACCAGAAAAATTGTCTCATTCTCCTCCTCTCCAGCCTCCCTCTCTCCATACCTGGGGCTGGAATGCTCTCACTGGCACAGGTTCAGAATTCAGGCTCCCAAAGGAATCAAGCAGAGGGAGCCCACTGAGCTCAACGTTTCTCTGCACAGAGCTCCCTGACTCACCCCAAAATCCTTCCCATCCAATGCCACCAAAATCTTCATCTCAACTCCTCTGACTAGATTGTGAACAACATCAAGGCGAAGTTAAGGCATAGCAAAGAGCAAGACAGATGCCCATGCTGAAGGGGCCAATACAACAGCACAAAAAGGATACCAGGGTGAGGGAAGAAGAAAACATTCAGGGAGGGTAGGGAACAGGGTCAGAAGATGATGCAAGTGTGAGCACTCCAAATTACAGAGGTTCTTGGAGGTGGGAGCAAGAAGCTTGGTTTTGATTCAGTACCTGATAAAAAAGGAATAGTAGAGGTGATTGCTGCAACTATCAGAATGGGTTTGAGACAGCAGAAGTGGGTATCACCCAGGCCACCAACAGAGATTGTAGCAATGACAATGTGAACTGTGTAACACATGGAGGTTTTAGTATGGGCAATGGAGAAAAGTGAGATGTTTGGGATATTCTTATTTTAACTGGCATCTGGGATACTTGTGCTTATACGTGCTTAGGCTGGGTTGATTTGGAAACCCCGTGGAAAAGCAAGTCAAGAGAAGACTGAGATTATATGCCACAGACGTGGGAAAAGACAGAATCCTTTATGCTCTGAGATTGCTGATTTATCTAATAAGGAACACAACACTTGCCATAAAAATAATTTGGGCCAACACCACGAGTCCCAAGAAAGGAATGGATCCTGCTTAAGAGACCTTTTGCAGACAGTGGGGTAAGTATGGCAGATCGCTGCCTTACAAATCTCAGGGCAGTAGTTGGAGGTAAAATGGATTTATCCTGGGACAAAACATATTCTGAGGAACAGCTGCTAAAATTGTATCAGAACATCTCCAGTATGAAACCCTTTATTTTAGGTTATGTTTTTGCTTAGTAAGTATTTTCATCCTGAGATTTCCCCGTCCTAATCTAGCAAAACACTTTTTCAGTATTTAGCTCTCTTCTGGGAGTTACTAAAATAAAGTGCATTGTTAACACAGTGTATTATTTGCTTACAAATAGAGCAACGCCAATTAAATCCTCTCCTTTAATAAGAAATTAGTAACTCTATGCTGGACCCTACCAGTGCTGCTCAGCTTATCTGAGGATACATCAGCTTCTGATTTAAAGACTTTTGTCTGGGTCTGATAAATCTTATGTCTGGTCCCAAAGCAGACACCAATTTTGTCTCTTACTGTCCACTGGTATTTATGGCCTTTCACTGTCATTCTCTATACACCCTGCTACAAACTTCTATACACCTGGTAATTTACAATGTGGGCTCTCAGATTTCCTTCCTGGGCATTGATAAATAAATAAAACAAATATTAAAAAGGAGATACCATGATTGATTGTATTATATTTTTTAAATTAGTTTGGCCAAGAAAACCCATGCAATGTTAAAATACAGGTGATGAGTAAGGGTGAAAGAGAAGAAAAAAAACCTGCAAGAAGAGAGTGTGCCTTTATCAATGCCATATCAATTTCCTTCACCACTGCAAAGCAAGAAGCATGCTCCCCTTATGGACAAAAACCCAATGGATTTATAAAGGTTGAAAAAGTACCTTCATTTACCATTTCTAGAAAACCAGAACACGGCAGATTGTCACAAAAACAACCAGAAGTTGAGGGTTAGGCAAGCTGAGTGAAACTATGGAAGATGAATAACTGAGCGGGAGCTGCTGCCCAGGCGCTGACAAGGGAGCCGAGGTACAGGTGTGATATTAAATGCCTGGCTGGCTCGGACAGGGATGTTGCAAGCTCTCACTGCAGAGCAGAATGTGACCTGTGCCAGTGGCACCTCTGCAGAGTCCTTTTTGATTTTAATGCCCATTGCTGGATTGGTGTAGCCTTATTGATAATAACATTACAGCAAATGGAACAATATGTAATTTACAAATGCAGCTTAGTGCCATGAGCCTCTCCACGTGATAGGATGATTTGACAACTGCCCTGGCTGCTACAATATATACTCACAAATACTGCAGTGCACACAGGGTCTCATTATCAGGGAGAAATCAGCAGGACAGCCATAAAACAAATACGACTCACATAAGCACACTGCTGAGGAGACTGTCTGCAATATATGCTCTGATTAATGTCTGGCATGGCAGCAGTGCAAGTTAATGCTTTCTTGAGTCTTGGATGACGTGCTTGAAAAGATCTTTGGGAAGGTCGTGCCCACTTTTATGACTTGACTGCAAACTGAGCAACCCCCCAAATGCTGACCTTGGATTTGACTGCAGGGTAAGTGCTGGAGGAGATTGCTAATTGGGAAAGCTCCATGGATGCCTACGGCAGCTCCTTGTCTTACCACCATCTTTTGGGGTTAAATTCCTCACAGTTTCACAGGAGGGAATGAAGCATTCAGTCTTTCTAATGCCCGCTGCTGTCTGCAAGGGATAAAACAGCCTTTGAAAAAGTTTGGAAGAACTTCTGCAAATAAACCTCTCTATGACCAATGCACTTAAAATAGCTTCAATCCTGCAAGTATCAAACAGTCTCAGGCCCTGACTCTCCCTCTGAAATGCAACTGGACTATCACAAAGATGCCCTATTAAAAAAATAAAAAGAACATAAAAGCACTGAAATTATGTAGAAACAAACACAAAGAGGCTTCTGCCCAATGCGGTGAGAGAGAAAATGATTAAATCGCATGAAAAACCTGTTGCTACCGCTTCTGCATTTGGCCAACAAAGAGGGCTGGAGAGGCCCCGCTCAGTAAATACCTACTCTTGTTGGATCAAAGGGGTAAGAATGGAAGCGAGTCCTCAGGCTTTATGGACTTGATCCAGTTGGTTTTTCTACTAATTTCTGTGGGCTTTGGCTGGTGTCCAGGCAGCAGAAACAACCAGGAGCAGGGCTAGCCTTGCCTGGCAAGTAGAAGTCCTGCCAGCACCACTGATTTTTACTGTCTCTGTCCTAAACACGGGCTTTCTGCTCAACTCTAGAAGGCTCCATAAGCTGCAAAAGGCTTATTGGAGGCCAGAAGGGTTTTAGCCAGACCCAGGAATGCACATGGCTGCACAAGGATACCCACTGTGGTCGCTCCCAACACCTTTTATCAGTCCTTGTTCATGTTCAGCCATCCTCACGTTTGGCAGCACAGTGGGTGTGATCTCTTCTGAGCACAGACACCAGCCAGAAAGTTCTATTTTGGCCAAGCAGCTCTGCCTGGCTCTGCTCCCTCGAGGAAGGACTGAAAAAGGAGCCTCCTCTGGCCTTCCTAGTAGTGGAGCCTTCAGCCTGAGAAGGGCTCAGGGGCCCGGGAGATGAAAGTAGATGGTTTGCTTACCCCACCATGCTGTCACAAGGGCTGTCAGAAACGCAGGAGCTCTTGGAATAAAGTTTCTGGGGCAGTTCTTCCTGTTGCCTTGCTTCCAGTAATGACTTTGTGCTTGTTTACATTAGAGTTGTACTACCAGTATTTTATACAACCGTAGGTAAATCAGTACAACACCTGTATTGTATCCAACGTTGCCTTGGTGTGAAGCTGAGTGTAGTATTTCTGAGTCCTGAAAAAGCAAGCCAGCAATGTGCCAAATGGATACTTAGAGAAATGGGAATGCTCTTGTATTGTCTGACATTTCAAACTCACTAATGACCACAGACTCACTGTGAAATTGTAATTGGTTTACTAAAAATAAGACACTGTTAGATTGCAGTATACCTAGCTCACAGCACTCAAAAAGGAATTAAAACCTTGTTTCTTTTTGTAATCTTATTTTTTCTCAACTTATTTATTAAAGAGGAGAGGGCAAAATGAACAACGAATTATACAAAATAAGGGATTTCTGCCAAGTAGCGTAATTCATATGAATACAAGATTCTGCCTAACATTTTCAGTGTACAAAGACAACAAAACTCCACAAGTTAACAAATCCACCAAGTAACTTCATGGAAACTGCACTTGCACTTTGGGGCAGAAATTGCTCCACTTTTGGTAGAGCCTGTAACTATCAGGCTCCGACTGTGGGATGATACAGTCTTTAAAGGAACACAGCTCCTGCTCCCTGAGCATGTCTGCCATGGTGGACAAATAGATAAAGCTCCTGGCTTTACTGAACGGTGGCAGATTTAACCCCAGGACCTTTAACTCTTTTGCTGGAGCAGGGCACCTCCACATTCTGGGCTGGAGTTTTCCAATTCGAACTGTAGGAATGACAGTATTACCAAATACTATGACTCTGAGCTTTGTGACGATGCAATCATTAACGCTCAAAAACACCCAAATATCCTGGCATCCGCTGCTAATGGAGTTAAATAGTTGAGGTTCGTGAGAGAAAAGTGGCATCGGCGATGCAGACCCTGACTCCTGTGACAAAGAGCCTAAAGATAACACATCAAAGAAACAGATTAAATTAGTAACAAACATACCAATCAACAAACCTGACCTTTTAAGGTGCTAACTGTGGAAAACTACGGAAAATTGTGGAAAAAATGTCTATATATACATAAAAAGTTGCTACCTTGTGGATATTACAATCCAGGCAAGGCAGCCTGGAGGAAGGAAGGGAAAGGAGTTTCCCTGCTGTACTTGTTGGAAGCTAAAGCACGGGCTGGAGACTCCGACTGACACCACGCAGGGTGTGCGCAGGAGAGCTATGAAGCGAACCCAGTGCTCCGCTCCGCTCCCTCTCCACTCCCCCGCAGCCACCAGCACTCTCACACTCATCTCCTTCTCTTTCCGAGGGCAACAAAAACCTCAGCATCGATCCGGAGCCTCCATCCATCGCTCCCTGCCTCTGCCTCCCCTCCCGGCGCTGCTGCAGCCCCGGGGGGTCCGGGACAACCCACGGCCGCGACATCCCCGCCGCTTCCAAGCGGGGCCGGAGCGGCTCCGGCAGCCGCAGCTTCCCAGCGGGTTTCGGCGGCGTTTGCCGGGTCCGATCCCGGGCTGCGCTGGGAACCGCGGTGGGAACCGCGGCGGGGAACCCCGCCCGCCGACCCCGCACCCTCCTCACTCACTCGCGGCGCTCACTTTTGATGCGATTACGGCTAATTAAAATTTAAAATTCAAATCGACTATCGAAAAGGTCATCTCGGAAAAAAAAAAATCCGCCAGCATCTGGGATTTTTCAGCTGGCGCGCAACTAGAGATAAACCCCTCGGGGCGGGGGGCAAGGGGGGGTCGGGAGAAGGAAGCCCCGCGCCCCTCGCCCCGTCCCCGCGGCGGGGCAGCCCCCGCGGCACGTCGGGCTGCAGCGGGGCGGGCGGGCGGGGAGTTGGGAGCGGGACGGCGGCGCTGCCAATGCAGCGGCCGGGAGGGAAGGGAGGGAGGGAGAGAGGGAGGGCGGCAGCGGCGGCAGCGGCAGGAGGAGAGGGAGGAGGAGGAGGAGGAGGCGAGGGGGAGGGCGCAGGCGGCAGCGCGCACCGGCCGGCGGCGGCGGGGCTGGCCGGGGCGGCGGGGCCATTGTGTGGCACCAGACGGGGACACGGCGCTCCCTCGCGCGCCCTCAGCGCTCGCCCGCACCCGCCGCTCGCAGCAGCAGCGGCGGCGGCGGCGGCGAAAGTATCGCGAGAGCGGCCGGCGAACAACCTGCTCCCCAGCCCCGCGCCGCGCCCGCGGAGCGCCCGCGCCGCCGCGCACATGCGGAGCCCGAGCGCCGCCGCCGCCCGCCGGTGAGTAACGCGGGCAGGGGGACACCCACCGCCCCGCCGGGGGAAAGTCCTCCCCGCAAAGTTGGGTGTGAAAAGGTGGGGGCCGGGGGGGAGGTGGAGAGGGAGGGAATCCCAAAAGCGCCTCCGCGGTGCTCTCCCCCCCCACCCCTTTCGCACCGGCGAAGGTCACCGCGGCGGGGTGCGGGGAGCGGCAACTTTGCGGCGGGAGGTGGGGTCCGGTTTGCGGAGTAGGGGGGTGGTGGTGGGGGTGGTTGTGGTGGTGAGAGTGTCCGTGGGGGGAGGCGGGCTCGGGGCAAGTTTGTGGGATTTAATCGCGGGCTATAAATGGGGCTGCTGGAACTTTAAAAGGCAGCAAGCTGTGGTTGGCTGGTAGCGAGATTTGGAGTAACATATGGCATTAAAAGGCGCACAGCTGGAGGTAGCATTTCCATCGCAGTGAAGTCAGAGCAGCTGACTCTCCAGCTTGCGGTGTAATTAGCAAACCGAGCACTCCTCCTTCCCCTCCCTCCCTCCTCCTCCTCCCTCCCGCCTGCCTCTCTCTCTCTCTCTCTCTCCCTGCTCTCCCCCCTCCCTCCCTCCCGCCGCGCCTCGCTCGCACTCGCACCGCGCTCCCTCCTGCCCGCCCGGCTCCGCGCCCCGCGCAAGGTAAGCGCCCGGCCGCGGCACGCAGCCGGCTGCGGCCCCAGCCCTGCCCTCCCGCCGGCCTGCCGACGCTTATTTTCCTCCTTAGCTTTTAATAACTTCAAGGGAAACTTTTTCCTCTCCCCCCCTCTTTTATCCCCCACCCCAGCCCCCCGCCCGCCCCTTTCCGCATGCGGGGGCCGCGGCCGCTCCCGCCCCGCGCCCCCCTCCCGCGGATCCGCCGCTCCAGCCGCCGCTGTTTTGTTGTGATTCGGTGCATAACGACTAAGGATAAAGTTTAAATGTGCGTGCGTGTATGTGTGTGTGTGTGTGCGTGACGCGGGGAATATGCTTTATTAAAAGATGCCCCAAGTTAGCGTTGCTGGGAAGACAGCCTGGGAGTTTATGCTTTTTTCTTTTCGGGGTGTGTGTATGTGTGCTTTCCTCCGCTTAATTTTTTTAAAGTGCTTAGTGGGAGAAACAAAGGTTGGAGGGGCTGCTGCTTTACTAGCTTTTGTTTACTTACAATCAAGTTTTTCCTGTTCGGAGCAGGTGCGAAAGGATGAGAAGCATGTTGTGTTGGTTTTTTTTTTTTTCCCTCCCCCCCTTAATAAAACTATTACAGACAATTAACAGTAAACGTTATCTCCAAGGCTGTTTCTTTGGCTTGGGTTACCAAAAAGCCGATCTGTTTGTTACAGCTGCTAGGAGGCTTTAGTTTACAGTAGCATTCAAGTTTTTCCTGTTTTGAACAGGTTATGAAGGAAGAATGGAGTTTCCAGACCATAGCCGCCAGTTGCTGCAGTGTCTGAGTCAGCAGCGTCACCAGGGCTTCCTGTGTGACTGTACTGTTTTAGTTGGAGAAGCTCAATTCAGAGCTCACAGAGCCGTTCTTGCCTCTTGCAGTATGTACTTCCATCTTTTCTACAGGGACCAGTTAGACAAAAGGGATATTGTGCATCTGAACAGTGACATTGTCACAGCCCCTGCCTTCAGCCTGCTGCTCGAATTCATGTACGAGGGAAAGCTGGAATTCAACAGTCTCCCGGTGGAAGATGTGCTGGCTGCGGCGAGCTACCTTCACATGTATGACATTGTGAAAGTCTGCAAGGGCAAGTTGAAAGATAAAGAATTATGTCCGGAAGAGAAGATTAATGATGAGGCGGCTAGTTTGGAGAAAGCGGAGCATTTTCTAGACGCCGGAGTGCCCCTGGTCCACGAGTTTGACCCAGGAAACAAACAAAAATTCAGCGTTGCAGAATACGAGAGAGCAGCAGGCAAAGAAAAGGTCAGCAGTCACCCCGCCTGGTCCTCTGATCATATAAGTGTCAGCTCTGTGCCGACAGAGGCAGAACCGTGCGCCGCAGCAGCTGGAAAAACAAAGGCTAATGTCAATAGTTCCACAGGACCTTTGTCCCAAAGGTCTGTTAACCATCCCCTGGCTTCGAGTGATGTGGACTGTGCGCTGGATTTGTCTTTCAAGCCCGTGCCGGGGAGAGATTCCTTACACCCCTCCTATGTCTTTGGACAGCTGGCTTCCGACAGCCAGCAGCAGGGTACCGAGCCACTTGTTAAAGATGAACAAGACTTGCTGTCAGATCAGGAGGACAGTGAAGCCAGGAGTCCAGAGAGTCAGCATTTTGGGAATTCAGCCAAAAGCCTAGTGACAGGGTTAGGACACATGTTCGCGGGGAATGGCAGCTCTCATGCCCGAGAGGAGGATATAGATCAAGAGCGAGACGAGAGCGAGGACGACATGGATTCGTCGGACATCTCCTCGGGTGTCCTCGTGCCTCCTGGGCATATCTGCATTTGTCCCCTCTGTAGCAAGGTGTTCCCGAGCCCACACATCCTTCAGCTGCACCTGAGCTCTCACTTCCGTGACAAGGACGGCTCCCGGACCCGCCTGTCCCCCGACGGGTCGGTCCCCACTTGCACCCTCTGCGGAAAGACTTTTTCTTGCATGTACACGTTAAAGAGGCACGAGAGGACTCACTCGGGGGAGAAGCCCTACACCTGCGGCCAGTGCGGAAAGAGCTTCCAGTATTCCCACAACCTCAGCCGCCACGCGGTCGTGCACACCAGGGAGAAGCCCCACGGGTGCAAGTGGTGCGAGAGACGCTTCACGCAGTCTGGGGATTTGTACAGACATATCCGCAAATTTCATTGTGGCCTTGTAAAGTCCTTGGTTGTTTGAGATGTGTGATTTTTTTTTTTTATTATTTTTTTTTTAAATATCCCCCCAACCCTTTTAAAACAAAACAGGAAAAAAAGGCAGCATCCGAATTTTAATTTTTTTTCCCCCCCTTTATTTTATTTTGGTGATATTCACTTCAGGTATATGATCTTTAAAAGATGCAGACGTATACACTCCAGAGGCCTTTCAATGCAATCCTTCCACCTCTCCAACTCCCGCCTTCCCCTGCCACCCTCCCTACCCAGCGCTGTCCTTTAGGTCTTCTCTTGCGCACCCATGTTACATTATTAATGTGAAATGATCTTAAGTAATTCTGTAATGATTTAGCATCTGTTTTCACACTGGAAGTACTTTCTTTGTGGTCAGGGTTTTGTTGGTTTGGTTTTTCTTTTTTTTTTTTTTTTTAGTTTGAAGAAAGATTATCAGCAAATTGCAGAGAAAAATTTGGATTCCTTTAAGCTCCCCTAGTGCTCTCTGCGTGTTGCAGAGAATCATCTGATGAGATGAACTATGATTTAAATACATTTTGGTGTAGAGAAACTTGTCCGCACATCTCAGAATGAGCAGACGTACTTTTATTTTCTGTGGCTAGATGAGACATTAAATTGGCCCAAATTTTAAAGGGGTTGAGGATTCCTGGCTGCGTCTTTAGTATTGTTCATTTTTTATTCTCTTTATTCCATTAGTGTAGTTCCGCAGTTGGTCCTAAAATCTAAATGAGAAGTTTTTGCCTCGGGACTTGACTTAAATTTTCCCCTCCCACCCATCCTCCTCACTGGACTTGACCTACTGAAAAGCTACTTTTGAGCATAGAATGTGAATGGAAAAACTCTGTCCACAGCGTATTCACTCCCAAAACATTAAGGATGCACACTAAGACATAAAAAAAAAATCATATGATATGTGAATATTTTCATTCCCATATCGAAACCCAGAGGCTGAGCCTGTCCCCCTTGGAGGGGACAGCAGCCCTAAAGTGGCCAAATACCTCTCCCAATATCAGGCTCTTGGGGTTTCTTAGTTCAAGCTGACTCATACCTTGTGTATTAGGAGATGCCCTGCTGTCTTGTCCAAAAAGTTTGCTGCCGTGCTAAAATAGCAGCATGAAATTATATTTTATTTTATTTTTTATGAAGTTGGTGAATCCCTCTGAGCCAGATCGTGTGCAATCGCCGGTGTTTCGAAGGGGCAGCGTGAAGATGAACCGCTGGAGGGAAAGCATGGCCTAACTTTCTCCCCCATGTCCCACCTTTCCAGGGGAAGGTTTTGGGGGTATTTTTAGGTGGAGTATTTTGTTTGAGGGTTGTTTTTTTTCTCTTTGTTTGTAAACTGAGGCTGCCTGTAACTATAGCCAGTTTTACTCCAGATAACTGAGTTTCTTGCCTAATAGAGCATCCTTTGGTCTGTGCATGTCGGCGGATATCAGATTATTCCCTTCCAGTCAAATTACCCATTCAAGGTACATGTACATGGGACTGAACTATAATAATAATAATATCTGGGGGTTTTGAATGTCGTTCTGCTGCATTAGCGTTGCTTCACCAGCTTTCCTGACACTCCTGGAGTTTTGTGAAACGTAAGCGTTTATTTTAAAATTAATTTGAAGCACTGAGTTAGATTATTTTAAAAAGTTGTGCTTAAAATACTGTATTGTATCTTATGAAGAAAAAACTTCCCAATGCCTTTCCCCCTCTGGTCCAAAAACTGAGCACTACCTACATAAATAATATGGGATTGAC